ACTATGTTTTCTCGAGTACGTGCCTTCCACTCTCTCCGCTTAAAATCTTCCTCCGTTTTCTTCTTCCTCTTTCTTCTTTGAATTACACTTTACGATCCTGGCTCGATTTGCGCCCCTCCGGCGCAGTCCGCGTATCCCCGTCCGTTCTTAATAAATTAAGTTGCTACCTTTATATGACTGGAAATTGAAGTTACCGGTAGGAGACTCGCTAGAAAATTTAAACGGCGAAATTCATTGTTCGGGCCGCGACCGAGAGTCGGGATATCGCTCTTTTAAGAACGTCATTCTCGTATATAACGTACGTTACCGTTCTTTCGCTCATCCTGGACAAGCTTCCCTCCGAGTGATATAGTTCTCGTGGTGGAATCGTGAAAAACTCCGAGAGGAAACGCGTCGACCGGACCGAGTACCTTATTGAGTTTTCACTTAACGGAACGAAGAACGAGGTCGAGCTGGCGGGATGTAAAAGCGAGGACGGTCTGACCTTTTCAGTGTTCTCGCGGATTCTCGTCGTTTCCGCGACCGAGAGTTATCATCGGTGATTTTATTCTCGCTCTCGTTCGTAAACGGTTTTTGTGCTCCATTTATGGTTATACGAGCGCATTGTAATCTTTTGAAACGTTGATGCGTCAACGTTATAATTCGTTCGCCATAAATAAATCTCTTCTTGCAAGGACAGACTAAGATTACTGTAATTTGGTTTAAAATATATCCAACGTGCAGTCGCATTAAAGTATTGTAGTTGATCAACTATCGTTGAACCCAGCATTGATTATTATTGCCGCAATTCGCGTAAATGGCGAAACGCGCGTCGCGACGAACGTTTAAATCGATTACGACACGCGCGCATTAAAATAGCAACCGATTGACGCGATCGACGGTAAACCGGAGTTACATAAACAGCGGTGCAGCTATCCTTTCACTTTCTCTACGGAAACCTTCACGGAACTAACTAATGGCCATCGAGAAATTGTCCTGGACTAACAACTATATAATAGTAGCGTAACATCGGGGAAGGGGGGATAGCTGATGGTAGGCGAAGTAGCAGTTTCCTTTTCTTTTTTTACAGAACTTTGAGGTCGCCAAAGTGATTTACGAAAAAGGTTGCATACAGGCCGGCGAGGAGTGGATAGAACGAAATCTCCTCGCGATTGCCAGCGGTGCAGTTGGCACAGCATTCACTCAGGTATACGTTAGTAAAATGCATTACCATAAGTACAAGCTCCGATCTTTGGCACGCATCGATAAACTTTCAACGAGTACATGAAAGTACGTGGAAGTACTTTGACTCGCGAGTAATTAACACTTTGAATCTCTGTGCGTTCAACTTAACACTTAACGTTCAATACTTAACTAACAATAAATTAAATAATGAAGCATCAATTGCGGAACATCAAGATGGAAATCTTGGTCGTAAAACGTTATTTTGAAACGTCTGGACGTTTTGCGGTAGTTGAGAGTCTTTTAAAATTCAGTTCGTAATGGAAAACTCAAACTCTTGGTACAACTCTCGCTTAATTTTCAATTTGCGATTCAGATATATTCTATGTCGCTCAAGATTGCCGTCATTGATTCAAAGTGTTAAAACGAGATTTTAGCACGTTTCTCGCGATGTATTCATCGATGCGGACCGCTGTGTTATGGAGCCGCCGTTGTATTGCCTTAAAGGAAATAAGGTGAGACTTTACCAGCACTTGCAACGTTGACTACCTATTTCATTCGCAGTGTTACATGCGGAAAGACGTAAAGTAGATGCGAGATACATAATAACACATAGCTAGACGTAGCGCAAGTGCGTTTATCAGCGTAATATAGAGCCTCTCTTGAATTTCGTTAAAGGATTTTAAATTCGTGCTTACTTTGCGTAATGAATTTTCATATGTTAAGTGTACAAGTAGATGCCACCAAAGCATGTTGATATTGCTCGTTATATTAGAACTTATCGATTGCATCTTAATGTTATGTTACGATTCAATTCTTCAGATTAATTGTATTTACTAATTATGCGTATTTTATATTTAATTGTTCAAAGTTAGAGATGTATAAATGTAGCGCATATATTGACAATAAGCACAAATATTACCAAGTAGTAGTGGAAATTTAATTTCAATAATTTTCTTCAACTAAAAAATTTATCGATTCTTCGATAAATTTCATGTGTTGTATCAATATTTTATATTTAAATTTCTGCAAATAAGTTATAAATAATACTAATATTAGCATTTTCGCAAATCTAAATCATGGCATTTTCATTTATTCATCAATTATTTTAAACATAAAAACACATAGGCTCATAAATACAATAATAAATGATTAAAGCAGACATTTAAATTATTCTATGGTAAATTAAAAAAATATAATACTTTATAAAATATTCTTGGAAATCGGTTATTTGATAGCAGCAAGAGGAATATTATTTATATTTTTGGAAGATCATATTAGATATCAATTAAAATGACGTTTCAAATGTTCATGAATATTTTGTGAAAATGCTGAAAAAATGTTTCTAATTATCGTGGCTATTTTGCGGCAAGCAATGAACGGAGTGTCCTTGTTGTTTTCAGATTCTGGGAATCTGCTTCGCGCAGAATCTGCGCGCGGATATATTCGCGCAAAAGGCGAAGTGGCATTGACAATCGCGTGCCCCCACGGCAGTCTAGCATCTTATCTTTATAGATGCTAACCGGTTACGTTGATTGAATTACAAAGTCTCGACGTAAACTCAGAGCTCTGGCGAGTGGACCCGGATGTTTTCCCGGACGAAGAGAAGACGGATACTTCGAAGGATTTTCACGATCGAGGCAACAGCGCTGACCGGATGCCGAATGCGATTCTCTAACGATAATCAGATCTGCTCGATAGCGCTGTGTTTCACACCGCTCGAATCCTTCGACTTGTAAATAACCGAGAAACGGTCGCGTGCGATGACCCCGTCTTGCTCCTTCCATACCGTCCAATCGATTAATCATCTGATTTGTCGAATAATGAGAGAAATTGATTGTTTTCAAAGTTTATTTTTGTTCATTCTTTGCAATCGTGCGCTGATTAACATCGCTCTTGAATAGATTTCTTATCGTAAATATAGACGGAGTAATCTTTAAAAGTAATGAATTTTTTAAAAATATTTATATGTATTTTTTATATGCACATATCGTTTTGTTGTATTGTAATTTAATTATTTACATCTAATTTTAAAATATATTATACATTTATCTACATTAGAGGCCTGTCCAAGCTCCTTGCAAAATGCAAAGGCATGCAAAAAAATTCAAGGGTAAGATTTCGGAGACTGTAAAGTGTTGATATACATCTGAGTGAGCTTATCATTACTTTAAAGTCTCTAAAATCTTACATTGAATTTTTTTTGCATCGATGACTTTGCATTTTGGTTCCGGAGCTCAAATTGAACAGGCTTAATCTACATTGGATTATTTCTATACAAAGATTATACAAAGATATAAATTTGTACATGCTAGTATACATCAGAATCAAGTTTATATAGAAAGGAATTTATATTTATATTGAAATCCATTTAGGTTGAATATATTATACTAACTTAAATTTAGACCGATATTCATGATATTGATATTCGTTCTTATTTCAAGATTATCTTAAGTAATATGATTACCTCTGTGATTGGTTTATGATTTAAAAGCTGTGCTTAAAACGATTTTAAATATAAGAACTATTATGTGGATATCGGCTTAAATTTAAGTTAGTATTATAATATATTTAATTTCAGGGAGTCAATATTTGACAAATTATTATATCATCATCCAACATTAGAATAGAAAATTTACAATATCTCGCAATATATTTAATTAATTAAGATCAATTTCTCTCACTATCTAACATCGACGAGAAGATGTTGGTTATCGCAACGCGAGCGTTCAGAAGGAAGATTTTTCGACGAGTGTATCGTAGAAAATCGTCACGAAATGTCCGATGTAACGTTTGTCTTCATCATCGGAGCGAAACGTCTCGATGTTTCATCTTGACGTTGCTGCCTGCGAAACGTATTTACTTCTTTGCGAAGAATCGTGCGCCAAAATATTTCTCTTAAAAATTGCGAGATCCAGGCATCCACTTTCAAATGATTGCATCAAACATTTCATATAAATCTAATATGTCGGAATTGAATCTTTTAAAATCATGGAAAAGTTTATTTATTCAATGAGCCATTCAAATCTGCGAAATATTTCTCGAACAAAAATACTTGTACAGCATTAATATATTTTTTGCTAATATTTCTTTCAAATATTAAATTAACTTTCATTTCAATATATATGATCTACGAATTTCTTGAATATCAAAAATATAGCTTGTTTTATTAAACAATTGACCGTTGATTGATTGAATTAAACATTTGATCGTACGTATAAAATGGATATTCTGGAATCGGATATATTCTGGTATATCCGGACTACTCAAACTAACAAGTCAACAAGCGATCACAAGTGACACTCAAAGCGAGGGACTCGATTCCATGGAAAATCGATACTCTTAGGGCAAACAATGGAATCTCATCCGGTGCCTGGTACTCGCAATTCGATCTCTCTCGAGACGCCTTAAGGTTGATTGCATCAACATCGATTATCGTCGCTAATCACAGTTAACTGCATTTTCGTTTTTCTACGTAAGTCAGGACCACAATTAAAGAGACAGGAGATTGTCAACCAGAATTTATTAATTCAGCCTGTCGACGTAGTTAATTCTTAAGGGCATTAACATCAATTATTGCTAATCTCAATTATTGTTAATCGAATATTTTCTACTGAAACTCAGTTATACGAAACAAGAAATGAATGCATTAGCGAAGTTAAACGATAGATACAACCAGCTCCTTCCGGGCTCGCACGAAACCATTCGACCGTTGCAGGACACGGTCGACTGCGGAATCCCGTTCTTCTCTTCGGAGACGAGAAAAGTCGATACGTTTCGTACGTTTAGAGTAGAAAAAGACGCACGAACACCCTCGTTCAGAATTTGCGAGCTACAATGTGTCGAGCCATTATAAGGTTGGTCAACGTAACATCGTCGTGGGGGCGCGGTGAACGAGAGAACTTCACCGCACAAGTGAACCATTAACAACTCTCCGCCGTGACAGAGAACGGCAGCCATACAACATATACATGTATACAATAACTTTTCCCTGTTCCCAATCGGTCGTCAAAACGACACAGTAATCCACCGTGCCACCTCGGGCATATCGATTCCTTCTAATTTGCATACATTCCATCCCTCCATCGATGGACCAGGTGTCCGTCATACACCGTGTCTACCGCACGTATCGTATCAATATTTTGGAAAGCACGTCGAAACTGTCGAAAACCTCCTTCGACTCTACGATCGTGACTGTTTATTGCTATGGAAACTACGAAACACAAACAGAAATAAGTTTATCGAGTTCATTGAGAATGTTAACGTAATAATTCCTCGTGTTTTACTATATTTTTTTGAAAATTTAATTATCAGAAAAATTTAATCTTTAAATTTCTTGCTAAATTTATACGCGATGGAGTTTAACATTTCAAACTAAAAAAAAAAAAAAAAAAAAAAGTGACAAGCGCAAACAAACATAAATTACGATAATCCTTTGAATGTTTATCGATTTGGAAAATATTTCATGAGAAATGATACCGAGGGATTTCGACATGTGTTACTGAAGGGTCGATAGTAAATACGACCAAGCCGCATTTTATACCGTGTAGTAAATTACATGGGGTACGTGTATTACATGGTTTACGTGTATTATTCTGTGCGAGTAGACGCGGGTGGCATAACGTGCTAACTTGGGCTGTTAATATTTATAAATCTTGTATACTGAGAAACGCGACGTCTCTATGTATTTATTTATGCTCGAACTTAACAACAACGGGGCAAAAGTTTGTGGAAATAGTTTGAGGAAATGTTTCGCTAGGCTCTCCCGAATCTTCGAAAATTTATTTCCTTGTTGCGAACGAAGAAAGTAAAAGACACTTTTTTGAAAAGTTACAACTGGTTGATAAGGAATTTTAACGCGGCTAACCCGTACTGGCAAAACTGACTTGCAATAACCGTAAACTGCCAATTTTCATGACGGAACGCAAGTAATTCTTAATTAATTCAAAATACGATTGTTTTAAATACATGTTAAATATATATATAAAAAAAACAATTATAAACAAACTTGATTTTTCAGATGTTTCAGTCTTTTATGTCAAGAAAACTTCTGAAGGCAAACTGTAAATGTATTTTTTTCGGTCAATCCACGTGCTAATCAATGATATAATCCGTTGATAAATGGTTCGAGCATGAATGAAAAATATATTTATCATTTATTATTAAGATATCATTCCGATATCTTACGCTTTTGCGAAATTCCCTGTAAATCTCGTCGCGTCACGATAGATAGTCGAATATATTAATACGATTAACGTGACACTTGGAGGAATGCTGTTGTTATTTAACAAAATTTGCGAATTTATTGTTAACCCCGAGGAAGTTCTCTATCGTGAATTCACGGTGCTGTGATCCGTGACGTTAATTAGTCACTCGTTTTGCCGTATAAAGAAGTTAAGTTAACCGACGATTTTTTATGAGCCATCGACGCGAATGCGGAAGCGGGTTTAGCAAAGGCTGTGCTATTTAAGACGAAGACTCAAAATAATACTCTCCTTACATATAATTGTTTTTAATGTCGTTCTTTCTCTTTCGCTCTCTTTACCTGTCTCTCATGTGTTCAATGACGACGATATGAGCGGCGGATGCGTATATATTTTAATGACGACTATGTACATACAAACTTACAATCATCTATTTTGCTAAGATTGAAATGTAGAAAAAAGAATCGCGATACATTCCCTAGATTAATAAGATTTACTCATAAAAATATATATCTCGATATACGTAACGATGTGCGCATATACGAAGTACATCGCGGTTTCTATATTTCATTCGCAAAGATGCGTGACAAGCAGATGCATAAGTTTAATATAAAATCTTCGAAACAATTTGCTAAACCCGACATTCCCGATCTATGTATCGTTTCATTAACTCGAGTTGTTAACCTGATCCGATATCCTCGTCGAGAAAACCGCAACAGACAATCTCGTCAAAGAATATGCGGATCATGTGACACGAATTAAACCAGTTTCAATTTGAAGATGTACTGTAGTGCGTCGAGCGTTAAGTTAGTATGCGATTTAGCCCGTTTTATGCCTTTGTAAGATTGCCTTGTCAATCTTTTCCTCCTTACATTTACGCAAGCCGCAGATCAGGCACGTCGATCATCGTGATTCTCCATTGTTTCACATTGTGTCGTTAAATATCAGTTATTTAGGTTTATAAGGTATCTAATCGTTGCCACAAGGTCGAGCCAGTAATCTGGTTTAGCAATTTAATTTTAATTATTCGCAACAATCTACGCTGCAGCCGTCCTTCCAAAATCACGATCAGAGATCAGCTTTACTTCCAAAATTAACTTACTTCTAAAATTATAGTTTCTCATACCTCGCGTCGTATTCAAACGAATTGACAAGTTTTTAATCTTTGTACACGATTCATCAGCGCATCTTTGTAATCTTTCATAAACACTTGCACATTTTGTTTTTCAGTGCGATGAGATTATTGCGTATAATTTCTTTTTTATTAACGTTTTAATAAAGATATAGTTTGCATTTTTGCTTTTTTTGTTCTTTTTATTCTTTTCCTTCTTTTGTAAATTTTATTTAATTTTTATCTATACATATTTGTACAGATGTAATCTATGTTGATATGCTTATTATTTCTCTACATTTTTTTATATTCTACGTAATTATTTTCAACAAATTCATTTTTATATTATTAATTCACAATTTTTTAGTGTATCAAATATTAAGAACAAAAGCTCTTAACGATTTTATTAGTAATATCTAAGATATTTCTCACAATATCAACGTAGTAAAACTTAAATGTTAATAATAAATATTCGTCTCCAAGTAATGATAATAATCCAGCAATTTAACTCACTCAAAATAAATGATAATTTAAATCTTATTATTCAATCCGTATGTGTCTTACGGGCAAAATTACAACGTTACATTCCTTCTTTCGAATTTCCTGTAAATACTGTACATGTACTTGTAAAAAAGAAAAAAAAAAGAACTAAGGGATAGTCTAATC